TTACCAGTAACATCCAATGACAAGACAGTACTACTATGTCTCTATGATGTTACCAGTAACATCCAGACAAGACAGTACTACTATGTCTCTATGATGTTACCAGTAACTAATGACAAGACAGTACTATGATGATGTTACCAGTAACATCCAATGACAAGACAGTACTACTATGTCTCTATGTACTACTATGTCTCTATGATGTTTACCAGTAACATCCAATGACAAGACAGTGCTACTATGTCTCTATGATGTTACCAGTAACATCCAATGAAAGAAACACTAAACTTTATGAAGTAAAGTCATCAAGACAGTATTAGTCTTCGAGAGCTGTAAAATTAGCAAAACAGAGTTAAATAATTTACACAGACCAACTGACCCTATCTTTATGAATACCTGGATACTGATATGGGACATGCAGTGGCTATCAGGAACTTCATGTCTCAGCTTATTTGGACTCAGTATTCTTGTATGATTGATGTTTAATTGTTATGGACAACTTACTTGTGTGTAGGTCTGAGCTTAAGTCATCTGTCATTCGCATGGGACATGCTCTACAACAGGAGGGGCATGTATAATCAGGCTGTTTAGAATTGAAAACATTTCAATTACATTTGATAAACATTTAAGGAAAATATAAAGTCAAGTAGGGAATGGCCATTGTACTTGGGAAGTGCATTGACCAGAGGAATCGAATTCTTAATGATTCACTTTTCTTGGGGAGTAACAATTTTTCTGAATTGACATGAGTAAGGAGGAAAGGTTCAATCTCGTGACTCTACACAATTAGGTGGATGGACATTCGGGATCTAGATGGTCAGTTTGTCGATAAAGGGGCACACAGAGGATCTAAAATGATTTGATTAAGTATCTTCTGGCACCTACTAGTCTGAAATATTAGTTGGATATGTCAATATTTGGTTGACAAATGGCTTAAAGCTACTTGATGAAGTCATTTCATACTGGAAGAATTTGATGGTGCCATAAAAGTCTTGGAAATATGCTAATGAAAGTAACTTGTTGGTCAGTTGGGATGTAAGTCATATTTGCATGCATTAGGACATTATTTTGTTGGGAGGAGCCAAACCGGTCATGAGTACTATTTTGCTAGTTGTCCGGTGAGGTGTGGGATTCTTGATTTGAGAGGTTCTCTCTGTATTGAGATGAAGCAGAGGATGAATGTTTGGTATTGAGATGAAGCAGAGGATGAATGTTTGGTATTGAAATGAAGCAGAGCGATGAACGTTTGGTATTGAGATGAAGTAGAGGATGAACGTTTGGTATTGAGATGAAGCAGAGGATGAATGTTTGGTATTGAGATGAAGCAGAGGATGAATGTTTGGTATTGAGATGAAGCAGAGGATGAATGTTTGGTATTGAGATGAAGCAGAGGATGAATGTTTGGTATTGAGATGAAGCAGAGGATGAATGTTTGGTATTGAGATGAAGCAGAGGATGAATGTTTGGTATTGAGGAATGAAGCAGAGGATGAATGTTTGGTATTGAGATGAAACAGAGGAGGAATGTTTGATATTGAGATGAAGCAGAGGATGAACGTTTGGTATTGAGATGAAGCAGAGGAGGAATGTTTGGTATTGAGATGAAGCAGAGGATGAATGTTTTGGTATTGAAATGAAGCAGAGGATGAATGTTTAGTATTGAGATGAAACAGAGGAGGAATGTTTAGGTATTGAGATGAAGCAGAGGATGAACGTTTGGTATTGAGATGAAGCAGAGGATGAATGTTTGGTATTGAGATGAAGCAGAGGATGAATGTTTGGTATTGAGATGAAGCAGAGGAGGAATGTTTGGTATTGAGATGAAGCAGAGGATGAATGTTTAGTATTGAGATGAAGCAGAGGATGAATGTTTGGTATTGAGATGAAGCAGAGGAGGAACGTTTAGTATTAGAGATGAAAACAGAGGAGGAATGTTTGGTATTGAGATGAAGCAGAGGATGAATGTTTGGTATTGAGATGAAGCAGAGGAGGAACGTTTGGTATTGAGATGAAGCAGAGGAGGAATGTTTGGTATTGAGATGAAGCAGACGATGAACGTTTAGTATTGAGATGAAGCAGAGGAGGAATGTTTAGTATTGAGATGAAGCAGAGCGATGAATGTTTAGTATTGAGATGAAGCAGATGATGAACGTTTAGTATTGAGATAAAGCAGAGGAGAAATGTTTGGTATTGAGATGAAGCAGACGATGAATGTTTGGTATTGAGATGAAGCAGAGGAGGAATGTTTGGTATTGAGATAGAGCAGAGGATGAACGTTTGGTATTGAGATGATGAAGCAGAGCGATGAAGCGTTTGGTATTGAGATGAAGCAGAGGATGAACGTTTGGTATTGAGATGAAGCAGAGGAGGAATGTTTGGTATTGAGATAAGCAGACGATGAAACGTTTGGTATTATTGAGATAGAAGCAGGCGATGAAGCGTTTAGTATTAGAGATGAAGTAGAGGATGAAGCGTTTAGTATTGAGATGAAACAGAGGATGAGCGTTTGGTATTGAGATGAAGCAGGCGATGAACTTTTAGTATTGAGAGATGAAGCAGAGGAGGAATGTTTGGTATTGAGATAAAAGCAGACAATGAAGCGTTTGGTATTGAGATGAAACAGAGCGATGAATGTTTGGTATTGAGATAAAGCAGAGGATGAAGCGTTTAGTATTGAGATGAAACAGACTGATGAATGTTTGGTATTGAGATGAAGCAGAAGGATGAAACGTTTGGTATTGAGAGATAGAAGCAGACGATGATGTTTGGTATTAGTAGGATGAAGCAGAAGAAGGATGAACGTTTGGTATTGAGATGAAGCAGAGGATGAACGTTTGGTATTGGGAGTTGTACAAGAAATCAACAAGTTCTTCCGTTAAGTTGTGAATCTGTGTTTTGTGTAAACCAGAAAAACTAGGCAACATCTGAGGACCTTTGTGTGAGAATTAATTTAAAAATAAACAGACTTGAACAACATACTGGACTTATCTTTGAGTATCCATCTTAGCTACATCATACCCTGACCAGAAGAGAGACATAGTGTCTAGGGAGAAGGGTATAACGCCCAGACACTCTCAGGAAACTATAACCAGGATATTTAGAGTTGAAAACATTATATACATTTTATGAATATTTAAGGAAAATTTGAAGTCAAGTTAAGAAGGGTGAATGTACTGGGAAAGTGCATTGACCAAGCTAACCGAACTCTTATTGATTCACTTTTCTTGGGGAAGAACAATTTCTCTGAACTGACATAAATGAGGGTGAAAGGTTCAAACTGGTGTTTCTACACAATTGGGTGGATGGACATTTGGGATACAGATGGTCAGTTTGGTCAGTTTGTCAATAAAGGGGCGCGCATTGGATCTGAAATGATTTGATTAAGTATCTTCTGGCACCTACCAGTCTGAAATATTAGTTAGATATGTCAATGTTTGGTTGATGGATAGCCTTAAGATAACTAGCAATGTCATTTTATCACAGGAAGAATTTGATGGTACCAAATAAAGTCTCTGAAAGGGACTAATGAAAGTAACTAATTATTAAGATTGGATATGAGTCATTTTTGTATGACGTAGGACATTATTTCGGGGGGGAGGAGCCAAAATTGTCAGAGATACTGTTTTGTCACATGTCGAGGGAGCAGAAGCGATTCTGGGCCCTACCGTTGACTTGAGAGGTTCTCTCTGTATATTGAGAGAATGGCTCAGATGAACTTGTAACTTTAGGAGTTGTACAAGAATCCAACACATTCTTCTATGAAGTTTGTTTATCTGTGTTGTGTGTCGACCAGGAAAGCTAGGCAATATCTGAGGACCTTTGTGTGTGAATTCATTCCAAAATAAATGGACTTGAACAACACACCAGACTTATCTTTGACTATCCATCTTAGCTACATTATCCCCAGAACAAGAGTGGATAGACAGATTGCCTAGGGAGAAGGGTGTAACACCCAGACACTCTCAGGTAACACTTACCCAGTGCCGAGAATCAATACTTGTATCAACAGAATCGGTCAAGTCAAGCATGTCCTCTAGTTTGACTTAATCAATGGGTATTGACAAACTCAACTGCGAAGCCTGCTGCTGCTGGCTTTGCATTGCCATGTACCCTATAATTTACTATCATGGAGTAATAATTCATTATTGAATATTACCCTGCAAGCGATATGTATTAGGATTCAGATATTAGGAAACTATACAGAATATTAGTTTCACCATGATCTGTTACAGCTTAGAGAAAAACACCAGTTTAAAGTAATAAAAACTCATACTATTAAATAAAAGGTATATAATTATGACTACATAGTTTGAAAGATGTTTTCTACATTAATCCTTGCCAAAGGTAATAAGGACTTGTCTGTTAGACACGTCTTTCAGTAAGACAAAAGCTATGTCTACACTGTTAAGAAAGTGATTTTTAGAATCAATTCTATAAAGTAACCTTGTCATCTCCTATATAAGAATAACATTAAGCAAACACTTCAAATTAGGGTAATTAAGACTTATCCCAGAGTAAGCTCGTCCGCTGTAATGCCATAAGCATCCAAGCATCCAGCAAATGTGTCAACAAGATTAGTGTCAGTTGAATTAGGATTAGCAGGATTAAGTACTCCCCTCTGTCAGGTCATTTCATTGGTCATTGTAGGGCACACCTCATTTTGTATCATCAATGAATAGTAATCTTTTTTGTTTCAGTTTTAGATAGTTAGAAAGTCCAAATGTAAGTCAGCAGGATTTAGACTCTCCCAACACAGGTTAGCTCTAGCCCTCAGTCTGGAGGGTTGTACCAACTCTCTGTGGCCAGAGATGTACACCCCATGTTATTCTATTCTTGTTGATAAAATTGTAATTAGCTTCTTGTAACTTCATACTCTTTGCTGAGTTAATTCACCATAACCAGACCAGCCCAGCCAGTTAGAAAGGGGTTTCACCGAACCTCACTGTTACCTTACACAGGGACCACAACAGTACTGTCCAATACGAGTTGTTTTCTGTCCCACAGATCCCCGTGGAAGGAGCTGACGATGGACCTGAGATCTCAAAAAAAGTGAAAAACATCATGTGAGTCGTGTAAGTATAAAACTTTATTTTCACTTTCAGCTAATCTTGATGTGGTCAGATTTTGTTTTCATGTAAGCTCATTTTGTTTTCTTTTGTAACTCTGTGTACCAATACAGACAGCAGCTACATGTTACAAAACAAAACTATGCGTGCAGAAATAGGCTCTAGGCATCATTTTCAGTACTAACGTAGGCAGATGCACAGGCATCTAGGACTGCTGTTGCAGGTTAATCTTGTGATTTTTTAATCTGTACACTGATCTTTATCATCCAAAACTGTGTTCCACTGGAGATACTGCTTGTGTGAGATCACACTAAGAGATATCGTTTCGACAGTAAATTGTGTACAATGCCCTAACATCATAAAATTACATGACTCACAATGCTATGACGTCATGAACTTGATGGCGTCACACAGACATGACATTGCTGCACTGCAAGTCTAATGGTACTACCGTGTTAAATAGAATCTCACCCAAGTTTGTACTGATATAAAATTATATCAACACTTGTTGATAAAAGTAAGGCTCGGATATTTATAACTTTATCAACTCGTGTTGATAAACTTTGATATCAGTCGACACTTGGGTGAGATTCTCAATATATTTAGACATAGCAATTTCGAACCCCCTGCACCCCCCATTGGCTCTGCCAACGCAAAAAAAAATCTTCAATGTGATCTTAAGTCATTTTCAAAAGGGTGGTGGTGGTTTGAACCCCCTCAACCCCCTCTGGATCCGCCAATGCTTGCAGATATTCTCTGAATCTCGGTTTGTGTAAACGTCCAGCAAGATGGGATAATACCTGAGGATCATTGGGTGTATTATCTTCCAAACTCTATGGACTTGGTGGACACACCAGGCTTATCTTGGAATAGAGATGTCGAGCCACATCAGCCTAAGTAGTTTCAGCATTGCTTGTCTTGCCAAAGACATAGGTTCACTGTGTGAAGTCCAGTTTTGGTGTGCCCATGATGTTCTGGAATATTGCTGAAAACAGTACAGAACCCAACTCACTCACTCAAACTCACTCACTCACTCACTCACTCACTCACTCACTCACTCACTCACTCACTCACTCACTCACTCACTCACTCACTCACTCACTCACCAACCCACTCACCAACCCACTCACTCACTCAGAGGTACAGATAAGCTGCGTATCTGCGTAAATTACGCAAATATCTATGTGAAAACCCAATTCATATTAAGTCTGTCGAGTACAAGTACTCTTGAAGTTTTGTAAATACTCAATAAATTTGATCTGCACACGAAAATGTCAAATCTTTGTTTGTGTACCGGTGAATTAATTCCTGTAAGTAAAATCTGAAAATGAACATCAACTATCCTTGTATGATTTGACAAGCTGGGCAAATGTTGTTACCTCCCTTTGTTTAGTGACTGACGTGCACATACTCTTAGGCAGTGTCTGTTACTCGACAGCGATGCCTATACAACTATTGTTACTGATTTTACACCGATGATAGGAGTATATTTTCATGTGACTATTTGTTGGCATCCAAACAATGGGGCAGGAAATCATTAGCATGAAAAGTTCAAGCAAACACTTTATCTACGTACATACAATTTTACAATTAATCCAAAATTGGCTGTTATTTTTTATTGAGAAATGGAAGAACCCAGTTAAGTATTTCAATTGAGAAAGGGAACACAACCACATTGACATATGTGTATATAATTTATTCACATGATATCATCATGTTGTCATGAATAACATGTAATGAAATGTTCATACATTGTATGGTCATCTCTATTCATATATGGCAATCACAATTAGGTGGTAAAGTTTATGCTTAATTTGAAAACGAAACTTCATTTATGTGTCTGTAAAAGATTTATTGGCGTTAAGACAAATACATCTAGTGTTATGGTTTATGGTGAATGTGGTAGATTCCCGATGCACATATTTTCTCAAGTTAAGGCTATCAAATACTGGTTAAGATTGTTGAACATGCCTGCACATAGATTTCCCAAAATGTGTTACAATATGATGATAGTTTAAGATAAACAGGTACAAAAGTATTTGGGTAATGAATATATGAAAACATTGCTGTTTAAAACTGGTTTTGGTAGTGCACGATATGACCAAAACGTTAGCTGCTACCCTAATTTTATCATGTCAATGACTCAAAGACTTAAGGATATTGATGTGCAGACACGGTTTGAATCGCTGACTCTTATCAAACTCATGTTTCTATTATAAACTTTTTAAAGAGCAAATACGTCTGGAGTGGTACCTCTCAGTCTAAGATAACAGTAAAGACGTTCCGAGTTGCATTATCACGTCTGTCTCATGATTTATGTACAGAAACTGGACGCTATACTAATATTAATCGACAAGAGAGACTATGCCAACTACGTGATTTAAATACTGTCGAGGATGAGTACCATTTCCTTCTTGTTTGTCCGCTGTACTGAGATCTTAGAAGAAAATATTTACCAAATCATTTTTATAGATATCCAAACATTATTCAATTTATATCATTACTAACAAGTACAAACATTTAAATGCTTCAGAATTTATCAATGTTTATATTCCATGCAACATTGCTGAGAAAGAAAAATAATAATACTTTAAAAAATGTAAAAGTTACTACTTGGGCGAATATAAATGTTTGTATGTTTTATGGACTATAGGCCTGTGGACTCTTCAGTACTGAATAAAAGGTTGGATCTCCGTTTAAAAATCTCTCTACTCTCCTGAGAACTGAGTGGGCTAATTAAGCTGTTCCATTATTGCTGTGGGGTGAGGGTAATTAATCCCTGTACTCAAGTGTTTGAAGAATGGCTGTCTGAAGAATGGGGGGACACCTTTGACTCACTTTCATCAGAGATTATTTGTTTAGATGTTCAAGTCAAGTGATGTGAACTCTGCTCAATAAGTCCCTGAAGATTCCCCAACCCGAGTAGTTTTTAATTTTTTGGGCTACAAATGTTGACTTTCGGAAAAACACTCTACTTCAAGATATTTGTTTTTACATACTTTATACATGATTGGAGTTCAGATTTAAGTTTTAAATTTTTTGGTCAGAGTTATTTTAAGTATAAAATTGCATCAAATTATTATTGAGCATTCATTTTTATTCTTATGTATTATAACTATTATAAATTATGTCATTAAACCATGGTATTTTTATGTGAATGGATGATGGGTGTATAAATTCTTATCGATCGATCTATTTATTATTTGATTGACATCAGAGGGGTTATTAGGTCGACTTATTTCTTCAAACAGGAAAACCACAATCATTGTTAACACATTAAACATCACTACTACACTTGTCTGTATTCTTCACAAATTAAAATATAATATATTCCCAAAACAACGAAACACAATTGTGAAAAATAATCACTCGATTAACTTTTCTGTTCGTAATGTGATAACATGTATAATGTCCCAAAACTTCTCTCTGCTGTGTGGGTAAATGTACCAAGTTAAACACTGATAACAGCATCAAAGTGATCATGGTTGTTTAATATACCATGTAAATACAGTCAGAGCATGGGTGCACAAGAGGGGTATTTTCTTGCCTGGAGGGGCATAGGGCCAAATGAAATAAATCTGCTGGTTCCAATAACACCTCTTTAAAAGTTAAGTTAGGTAGGTAGGAATTTTTTATTTTTGTACGTATTTTTTTTAGAATTAAAGTATAAACTAATAACACATGTATCAATGTTTAATGGTTTATTCAATCAAGATTGCAGGCATCGTATCGACTTTCTCTATCAGAATGACCGATATCTGTCGGCACCCGAAAAACAATGGTATCTGAAAGCTTATTTTATTCAGTCAACTTAAACAAAATAGGGTCGGCCCCAGAATTCAAAGGTCGGTTTGGTAATCGGGACCACAACATATTTTTTTTCTTTTAGGCCTCCACACCCGGTATAGTCTAGCCCAGGCTGTTTTACACACCTGGTATAGTCTAGCCCAGGCTGTTTTACACACCCGGTATAGTCTAGCCTAGGCTGTTTTACACACCCGGTATAGTCTAGCCTAGGCTGTTTTACACACCCGGTATAGTCTAGCCCAGGCTGTTTTACACACCCGGTATAGTCTAGCCCAGGCTGTTTTACACACCGGTATAGTCTAGCCCAGGCTGTTTTACACACCGGGTATAGTCTAGCCCAGGCTGTTTTACACACCGGTATAGTCTAGCCTAGGCTGTTTTACACACCGGTATAGTCTAGCCTAGGCTGTTTTACACACCCGGTATAGTCTAGCCTAGGCTGTTTTACACACCCGGTATAGTCTAGCCCAGGCTGTTTTACACACCCGGTATAGTCTAGCCTAGGCTGTTTTACACACCCGGTATAGTCTAGCCCAGGCTGTTTTACACACCGGTATAGTCTAGCCCAGGCTGTTTTACACACCCGGTATAGTCTAGCCCAGGCTGTTTTACACACCGGTATAGTCTAGCCTAGGCTGTTTTACACACCGGTATAGTCTAGCCTAGGCTGTTTTACACACCTGGTATAGTCTAGCCCAGGCTGTTTTACACACCGGTATAGTCTAGCCCAGGCTGTTTTACACACCGGTATAGTCTAGCCCAGGCTGTTTTACACACCCGGTATATAGTCTAGCCTGGGCTGTTTTACACACCGGTATAGTCTAGCCCAGGCTGTTTTTACACACCCGGTATAGTCTAGCCTAGGCTGTTTTACACACCCTGTATAGTCTAGCCCAGGCTGTTTTACACACCCGGTATAGTCTAGCCTAGGCTGTTTTACACACCCGGTATAGTCTAGCCTAGGCTGTTTTACACACTGCATAGTCTAGCCTGGGCTGTTTTACACACCCGTATAGTCTAGCCTAGGCTGTTTTACACACCCGGTATAGTCTAGCCTAGGCTGTTTTACACACCGGTATAGCTGTTTTTACACACCGGTATAGTCTAGCCCAGGCTGTTTTACACACCCGGTATAGTCTAGCCCAGGCTGTTTTACACACCGGTATAGTCTAGCCTAGGCTGTTTTACACATCCTGGTA